AAAAAAAAAAAGTGTGTTTGAAGCACAGTTTATGTGTTACAAATTTCTGTAATGCTCACAGTTTGGCTATAGAGATCGCCAGCGAAGAATTCAGAAGAGATAGAAGTCATATCCTAGTTTTCTGTTTTCCTTCAAGCAGCAGGTGCAAATTCCAAAAATTCGAGATAAAGTTTTTGAAGTGGCTCAACTGCTTCTGAAAATAATTTTAGCAATACATATTCCAGAGCGAACGTGGATAAGCGTTTCATAATTTTGAATTATAAAATGACCTATTGAAAGCTTCTACACAACGTTCACATTTAAGTTATTCTTTTTACAAGCTTTTTTAAATAGCCACACGCCCATCATCAGCCAACGAAATTTTGCAAGGTCCACCCTAACAAATATAATTTTTTAAATTTTTCGTTGAATGCTCAACCGTGGCTGTATGCTTGTGTGAGCACTCATTGATGTCTGCATGTATTTATAAAAGCTATATTCGCATGAATGCCCATAATTGTATGTTTATGGGCCTTTTATCGCGCCCGACGCGCTCAGCGTGGCGCGCACATACTCAGTTAATTGAGCTGGTTGTTTATTTAGGAAATATGTAGATTTACATAAAAAAGAAAATATATGCTAAGTCGACTTTCGACGAAAGAGTTGATAGAGTTATTGTCCTCCATGCTGTAGCTGCTGTCGCCTTCGTTAAAAAAATTAAAATATGTTTAGTATAAATTTCATGATAAAAAAATTTGAAGGTAAAAATAAATGATGGCCGACGAATAGAGCGCGCGGTTTTACCTTTAAATATTTGCATCCTGAAAAAATTGAAAAGTGCATACTTAATTATATTCAATTTTGGTTTGCAGCAAAAATATTGAAAATCGCCGAAAATAAAGTGTTTGAAATAATTTTACAATATTTTATTCAAGTCACCAATTGCTAAAAATAGCGGTCACAAAAAGTAAAGTGACAAAAATCGAGAAAAAAACCATAAAAATCCACTTAAATGCTCCTCGGCATCGTAAAAATGCAAAAACCTTCAAAACTTCAGCGCTTTTTCCAAGCACTGTCGCGTAACTACGATTTCGATTTCGCTCATTCGCTTCAACGACAATGAATAGTTGAGGGCACGTGTTCGGAGGTGTAGTGCGCGCACGTGTATTGCCCCGCCCATACCATAAAGCCCAACACGTCGTAACGCTAAAAAGTTTGTATTGTTGTTTTAGTAGTGCGCGTATTCGTTTTACGACGCCTGTTTGTGGCCGTCAGTGCTGACAAAACGCTTAAACGTCGCCTGTTGTAACCGAGCACGGGCGCGGGTGCGGGCCCCAAGCTGTGATGCAAGCGAACAGTAGCGGTCGAACGGCTTTATCGGCGCAATCATCGGGTACACCATCGCAATCAACGATCTCGTCGTCGGGGAAGGTAAGTGTTGGGTGGGAGAAGAGGGTTGATTTTATGTGCTAAGTATATTTTTCTTGGGGTAATAATAGGCCAGCTGGGTGGATGTATGAACATAGTTTTTAGAAGATATGAATATCTTCTAAAACTTCTGAGTCAGCGTACTTCGGCTACATTGCCAGGTGAATCCAGAATTACACATTTTTCGTATCTGAAATATTATCTATGCAACTCAAGGGTTACTTTAATCCTTAACACTAAATAGTGGCAGATTTCTTCTTTTAAGTAGAAGTGGCCATTTATTGAATAGCCTTAGGTACAACTTTTTACATAACCGGGTTGAGAATTTCAAAATCAGTAACTTACCAGGACGTAAACAATCACGCAGCCGAAAAGTACACCTAAGGCATTGAAGTATGCCGGGTAAAAGCAATTCAAACGCATTAATGCTGTCAAAGTAGCGCTTTGGGACTCTCAATGAAAGTTCATCCATGCTCGCGACGTATAGTAAGCAGAGCAGCAAAGTGTCCCACGTGCCGCCCACACTTACACGCGCGCTCGATAATAAACGTGCCATCAAGTATTGAGTTTTATTGCATTTCCAGCGAAAACAACCTTTACGACCGCAACTAAAGTCAATGTGTCGCGTACTCACAAACTCGTAAATCAGCAGCCATATATGCTGCTAAAAGAGAGATAAAACAAAAAAAAAAGCAGGACATGCCAACAAACAAACGCTCGCCTATCGCATGAGATCCTCCCAGGCGGCATTGCAGCAACAGTTGATAAAGATATGGCTGCGACAATTTAATTAAGACGGCAACCCAAATTGAGCGACCAAAGTAAAAGAGACTTCATAAAAATCAAATAGCTAAAATATATCGAAAAAATAGTTGCGCGCTCATAAAAAACACGTTACATGCTAAAGGAAACTGCAAAAATTGAAGAAATAAAAAGAAAAAAATGTGGCAAACATAGGCGAAACTGAGAATTTTGAACAAAACTTTTATGCGGCCCTGGGGGATGCATTTGAGTAAACTATGCGGCCGAGTTTGTCGGAGGAAAATAATGCCAAAGGATTGGCGTGAAATTGGTTCGTGTGTTATTCCATTACCTACCTATCCACTGCAACGTGGCGCTGATGTCGAGCGAGATTGATACGGCAGGCAGTCGTAATTCGATACGAAGCAAATTTTGTTTGTTTGCTCACCCAAAACATGCACGCTACTATTCTTTCTAATGTCGTTGTTTGCTCACTATTCAACGGCGGTTGGCGAGGATAGCAAAGTTGTGGGTGAAAGCCAAGTTGGAGTGAAATTGAGTGGCACTTAAAGGCATACAAACGTGCTCGCACGGAATTGTGGAAATATGAGATGGAGTACATATTACTCGTAACATGCAGATTGAACGCACGCACATAATCGTACGCATTTGTCAACAACTGCATTAACTCTTATTGACACACATAAAATAGGCAAATAAGAAACTATGTATTTATGCTGGCCTACATAATTTCAAAGTATATTTTCAGGCGCACAGCCATCGGTTTGATGTGGCATTGCAAATAATTGGAATTTCACTAAGCGCCCGGCAGCAATCGATTCGAGTGGGTAGATAATACATATATAACTGGATAAAATGCACGCTTGTTGTTGAAGTGGTGGCGATAAAAAACGCCGCTATGTGAGAAGAAAATATTCATCATAAAAAATGCGAGATGCCAGTATTGGAATTCTCAACTTTGATGAGGACCACGACAAATGGTATACGGGCTTATGACCCTGAGCTACTTATCTGACGCGAGTGGAGTTTTCAGTAGAGAATAATTGAAACGGCAGTCAAGGACGCCCTAAGAAAAAAATCAACATCGAGATTTGTGCCCATCAGAAACATTCGAATTCGCTTGAAAAGAAGCGACCACCGAAATATTCAGCAGCTGAGTGTTTAATTTAATTTATGAGAAAAAAGGATTGATACCCTTTTCGGATGAATGAAAGGATTCTTGGCCCTATTTAAGAAGTTATTTGGTTATCACGTCCGAAGGAAATTCTCGATATTGATTTGGTGATGTTTCTCCACATATTTTAATGACAGTTTGTTCTATGTCTACATACATATGAGTATTTCCATGATGTCGGACGTGATATTCGAGTGTTAAGTAAGTCATACTGAAACGGAAGTTATAAAAAAATTTGACGTTGTGTAGCTCGTATACCGTCCTTTGGCTGACAAAAAATTAGGAGCGCTTGGAACGCGGGTGCCAAGAAAATCGATGAAAAGGAGATCATAACGGACGTGATTTCAGAGGACAACATTTTTACTAGTAATACACACACCAAGTAGGCGACAAATGCAAGTGTACACCCTGTTCTAATATATTTTCACAATTAGTTTCATGAAATTTTTTTGCATAAAGAACACTAGTTTACAGTGAGTTTTACCTGCATTTGCAATTGACTACCATTCCTTATGTAAAATTTGTCCCTGAATCTGAATACGATATTAAGAAAGTATAACAGTTTTCGAGCTATAGCTAAATTTCCGTTTTTCGAGTTTCTAAAAAAGTGATTTCCCTAAACTGCCATTATCTCCGGATCTAGTTAGCCAATTTCGAAGTTATTTTTATGGTACTGAAGGTAATTAAATTTGCCATCAAAAGTGTTTGCAACACTTTTCAATCAAACTGTCGGTTTAGGAGCTATATATGAATTTTTCGAGAAGTTTGCATAATTTTTAACAAAATTTTATGAACTCTTATTTTCATTCTATAATATGAACCATATAAATCAAAGTTTTACACTTTGTACAAAGTTTACAAAAATTCAAAAAATTTTAATCAACATTTTCAACATTTTAGTCAGAATTTCTAGAAAATTTTCGAGTATCCAGTTTTGTAGCCCATTTTAAGTTGGAAGTGTAAGTTTTAAAAGGCTAAAAAATCCCTTTGATATTTTAGAATCTTTTTTTGTGACTGATTTTTGCACTTTTTTCCATATAAGCATGAAGTAAAATGCGGAAACCAACAACATTAGCAACATATTTCAAAAAATCAACGCCAGTTTTTGTAAATTGCACTTGTTATAGTAAAAAAAAAGGCTAACATTTCCTAGAAATTCTGAATAAAAAGTGGAAATTTTTAATGATACCCTGATTTATATGGTTTATATTGTAGCATGAACTATATTTTCTTAAATAATTGATGGAAAAAATTTTTCATAAAAATAACTATCAATATTGAATTACACTAGAGTGGTCCAAGAAATCCCTTTTTTTAATATTATTCTGTGCTCACGCAAATTTGTGTTCCTTTTGCTAAAAAATTAAATAAACAACTTGATAAAAAAAAATTATAAAATTTAGAGCTCGCTCAAATCCATTTTTATTTTACTTAAAATTACTCGTCCTTCAATCCGTGTGCACGCGAAATCCCTCAGGAAATTTAAGTTTTGTAAGATCTTATAATAGGAAAGTTATTTTTTCGATTAGGCTCTTACCTTTTTAGATATTACAAAACAATATTAAAAAAACGAGAAAAAATTCCGAAATTTTAATTTAAAAGTTGCTTATTTCTTATTATTTTTTTTTTGCAAAAGTAACACTCATTTGCGTGAGCACTGAATAATATAAAAAAAAAGGATTTATTAAACCACTCTAGTGTACACTTTCATTTGTAGCCTAGTGTATATAATTTAATTTTTCATTTGTTTTCAGTTCTGCTCTCTATCGTTTCGTGTTTTCATAACTTTTTTTCGCCATCTGAATACGAAATTTACTTGCAGTTTTGGTGTACCTTTTTATGGAAACACCCATAGGCATCTAAATCGATTAAAATTCCGATAAAATTATTGATAATTCTGATGTTAATATCCATGCAAAGACTTTTTGCAAACTTTTTTTTTTCAAATTTCTGAGTTGATATCGATCTTATATCGACTTATCGATAGTTTTATAAGAAATTTATATCACCTTCTATCAAAAATGTATACACATTTCGCTAATATTTGTTTTGATATCGATACAATATTGATTTTTTGGTAAATTAAAAAATGTTTAAAATAATATGGGCATGACATTTTGACCAGTTCTGGCCATTTTTCTTTTGTTGTTTTAATGTTTATTATTTTCTTTTAAAAATGCAGCGAATTATAAAACAAAAAACATGTAAGCATAAATTTCAAGCTTTGTAGAAATATTAGGAAAATTCACAAAAAATAATACAACAACAAACTTTTTTTATGAAGAATAAAAAAATCTAAGTATGAATTTTTATATCGCATATATAATAGCTTAATAAAGTGTAAGTTTCAAGTGGATAAGAATTCGCGTTGATTTTTGATTGTTTTTTGTTGTTTTGTGTTGACGCATTTTCTTCCATACAAAGTATGTTAGATTTTTTTCCGCGTTGAAAATAATACCATTCTAAGAATTTATAAAGATTAGATAATGAGCTGCATTTTCATAAAAGAATTATAAACAGTAAACAAACAAAAGAACAAGTAATTTTTAGCAAAAAAAACCGACTTAAAAAAATATATCTATATCTATATATTTCATGATTCAACGATCAGATCTAAACCAAATTAGTATGGGACCACCTCTGAGACGCTACGCGCGGTCCAAAGTTATGCGGTAACATACATAAAAAAAAAAAAAAATTAAACAAAAATATATATTCCGACGAACTGATAACCTCCTCCTTTTTTGGAAGTCGGTTAAAAATAGTCAAAACTGGCCAAAATGTCGTGTGCTTATTATTTTTTACATGGCTGTACTAAGTATGTTTATCGATAAATCTATCGAGCAAATTGAAAAAAAATCACGCATTGGAAAGAAGCATTTAAGTAACAGTTTTTTTTTCCAATCCATTCAATCCTTTTGTCTGTGCTACCCAACGCATCCTACAGTTCTCAAACGAACAATTGAAAATTGTAGACATTTTTCCCCAGCGGCACAGAAAGCACACTTTTACGCACACATACTCGCACATTTAAATATTATATAAATTAGTGCGCTTGCCTGCACAC